AGGGTTGGATTAGGCCCAGTTCGTCTCCTTTTGGAGCACCTGTTTGATTTGTCCCAAAAAAGGAAGGAGAGTTGCGCATGTGTATAGATTATAGGGGTCTGAATGCAATTACTGTTAAGAATGCGGAACCACTGCCCAGGATAGACGATCTCTTAAATTGGGTGCAGGGTTTCAAGTACTTCTCAAAGATAGATTTATCATCAGATAGAAGTCTCATTCTGATGACCAGTACACGACTGCGTTTCGGACTAGGTACGGGCATTATGAGTCCATAGTTATGCCCTTTGGACTGACCAATGCGTCAGCTACGTTTCAGCGATGTATGAACGATCTGTTTAGACCTTGGTTAGACAGGTTCGTCGTAGTCTATTTAGATGACATCCTAGTTTTCAGTAAGACCCTCCAAGAGCACCAGGGTCATTTGAGGCAGGTCTTGGAGAAACTGAGGGAGTCAAACTTCAAGATCAATGCGAAGAAGTGCGAGTGGGCCAAGACATAGGTTTTGTACTTGGGCCACGTATTAGACGGAGATGACATTAAGCCTGAGGACAGCAAGATAGCGGCAATTAGAGATCGGTCGACGCCCTGCACGTTGACAGAGTTGCGGTCGTTCCTAGGCCTAGCTAACTACTACAGGAAGTTCGTGAGGAACTTCTCCACTATCGCTGCTCCCTTGCGCAGGTTGCTTAAGAAAGAGGCAATCTGGCAACGGGATAAAGATTGTACGTCTGCGCTAAAGAGGTTAAAGCGCGCATTGATGGAGTACCCTGTCCTCAAGGTCGCAGACCCGTCCTTGCCATTTGTCGTCACCACGGACGCAAGACAATATGGGATAGGCGCCGTGTTACAGCAAGACGACGACAATGGCTACAGACCCGTAGAGTTCATGTCAACGAGGATGCCCTCAGAGAAGGTAGCCACCTCGACGTATGAGAGAGAACTCTACGCTTTTAGGCAGGCCTTAGAGCACTGGAAGCATTACCTGCTTGGGAGGCACTTCAAAGTGTACTCCGACCACGAAACGCTCAGATGGTTGAAGACACAGGCCAAGATGACACCTAAGTTGACTAGGTGGGCCGCTGAGATAGACCAATATGACTTTGAGCTCAAGCCAGTGAAGGGCAAGTACAACGTAGTTGTGGATGCTCTGAGTAGGAGATCAGATTACTTTGGAGCTATAGTTCACTATCTGGACATAGGGCGTGACCTGCAAGAGAAAGTTAGATAGGCGTATGCGTAGGACCCTATCTATAGTGACCTCCTCAAGAGAGTCAAGGAGGCCCCAGAGACTGAGCCACATTACCGCACTACAGAGGGTTTGCTATTCGAGAAGACTAATGTAGTAGACCGCCTGTGCATTCCCAACAATGAGGAGATCCGAAGTTTGATCTTAGGGGAATGCCATGATACAGAGGGACATTTCGGTTGGCAAAAGACTTTGGCCAATCTGATGCACTCGTACACATGGCCAGGAATGAAGCGCGACTACATAGAATGTGTCCGCAGTTGCAAAGTCTATCAGAGAAACAAGACTACTACGCGTGTTCCCTTATGTCTTCTCAGAGCCTTGCCCATTCCAAACCAGCCTGGAGATTCAGTCTCCATGGATGTCGGTGTCAAGAGTATGCAGAGGCGCGCACAGAGTTAGTGATTCAGAAGTTTTTTTTTATTTTGGGTTAGTGAGCATGGAGTCCCGTTGTCAATAGTTAGTGATAGAGATAGTCGCTTTACCAGCCGGAACTGGCAGGAACGGATGAGAGTCTACGGGTCTAAGTTGTTGATGTCGTCTGGCCGCCATCCAGAGACTAACGGTCAGACAGAGCTGATGAACAAGATCCTGCAGCAAGTTCTGCGCATGTACATTAGACCCGATCAGATCAACTGGGACGAGATGTTACCCAAGGTAGCCAGTGCATACAATAACAGCGTGCATTTGTCCACCTGTCGCACTCCCAATGAGTTGCACAAGTCCTTCAGACCGCATAGACCATTTGAGGGACTGAACCGGGATCAGATTCACAGGCTACCGCCCGGTACCAGGGAGTTTGCGATGCAACACGAGAAAGAGATAGCGACCGTTGTTGAGAACCTCAGGAAGGCCCAGCACCGCATGATAGAGCAGGCGAATCAGCACTGTCGCCCGTCGCAGTTTCAGGTAGGCGACTTGGTCTGGGTCAAGTCTAAGGAGTTTGCTCCTGAGGAGAACATCTCGCAGAAGTTACTGCCCGCGTACAGAGGACCGTGGCCAGTTCTAGAAGTTAAAGGCGGAGAAGATGGACCGTCCTATACTATAGAGATACCAGCACACCTCCACACCTACCCCGTATTTCACGCATCAAAGTTGCTGCCGTGTGTCACAAGTCAACAGTTTCCATCTAGACGGTTCATGATCCCTCCAGACATGGACGGAAGGTATGACATTGACGGCATTGTAGTTGAAGATATGTTCAGAACAGGAGGTAGAGGTTGTCCACGGAAACAGTACAAGGTCCGGTTCGCTTATCAGGAGCCGGAGGATGACCGCTGGTTCACGAGATCAGAACTTCTAGAAACAGCTCCCGATATAGTTAAAGCCTACGAGAGAGATCAGAGAGGTAAAGGTCCTGCCTTGGACTGAATTATTCTCGGAGGACCTCGAATTTAGGCCAGCGGGAGTGAAATGGTATTCAGCAGTTCGCAGTAGCTGATGCAGATCCCAGGGCTCGATCCCTAGTCCCCACCTTACCTGTGTATAGTATCTGTGTCGGCCCTTAGAGTTGAACCAGCGACCTGTGTATTTGTAGCAGTGGTAGACTGTCGTAGGTCCTGAGTTCGCAGGGGTTCGATCTGTAGACCTGCCGAGTAGGAGTCTTAGTCAGGTCTAGAAGTCGTAGCTGTAGCTTTCTTGAAAGGTCAAGGTCGTAGCTGCTACAGTCCAGAAGGGGTCAGAGTTGTAGCTGCTACAGTCACGAAAGGCCAAGTCTACGGCCTTCCGGAAGGTCCCAGTAGTGGCCTTTCGAAGCTGCCCACGTTTAGACTAAGGCAAGTGGGCAAGTGGTGAGGCAAGTGGTCAAGTGGTGGAGTCTACCCGTGCTGAGTCAGCAGTCCCAGTCCCCAGTCAGTCCTGGTCCAGTCCAGCAAGTACCGTATGGGACTGTGTGCATTTTGGGCATGGGAAAGGGCCAGACCAACGAGCTGCAGAAGTATAAATCAAGAGGCAGCGCCCAGCCATTCATTCATTCCTGCGTGAGCCATGCAGAAGCGCTGCCACAGCGACTTGTGCAAGGAGGTCTGCAGTGAGCCCGAGGACGAAGTGGGCAGAGAGACGAAGCTTAGCTATGGCGATAGGGTAGAGGCGGCCATAGCCGCCATAGCTGTAGTTAGTGTTCAGTGTGTGTGTGTGAGTTTTCAGAGAGACGCGTGTGGGATATCCAGGGTGATCCACTGTATGCGAACAGAGAGTTGTATGGGCGCTATATCGCCATAGCCATTTGGGAGGGAACTCGTATCTGGTTGCCATATCTCTGAGTTTGGACCGGGCGAATGTCGCCAGTTTGCTGCGCTACTGTTTGCATGCATGTAAAGTGCGAAAGAAAGCAAGTCTGATTGCAGGGCCTGCATTCTTTGGAAAACCCCAGAAAGCTCGGCCTGGGTTCCTCTCAACCAACTGACGCGTCGCAACTGCCTGGACCCCAAATATGAATTTGACAGCCGCCTCTTGTGATATGTTAGGCCCACCTTCACTTAGGGCGAGCACTCTTGCAACAGGGGCGCCTCAGGCCTGCCGAGGACCCAGATCCTCGCCCAAGGTCCATTTACTTCGCCTGATGATAGTTTCAACCCTGAGCTGTCTGGAGTATATGGGCCTTCTAGTTACAACTACCGTCTTCGACCAAACACAACACACCCGCATTATGGCTGTACCAAACCGGGAAGATAGATTGTATACATTCGTTATCAAAGTGTGTTGTGATGGTAGTTACTTTGCCTGATGTCTGTAGTATGTAGCCACCAAATTCTAGTTACAAAGCTAAATGTGCACCCAACTGTTCCAGGGGACCTTTCGGTGCTCATCCAGTGATGGCAGTTCTTTTGGGTCTGTATTTGGATATTTTTTGCCTGCATCTGAGTGTTTCCATCTGCGTTTTTTCTGCATTCTCACACAGAGGTTTTCCGAACTCACATTTGGAGGTCAGCTGGACGTACCTCCTTTCCTCCGTAGTGTGTCCAAAGTGACTGTCCTTTTGTGTGTTGCTCCCAAACAGGTTCCTTCCTTGTGAAGTTGGACAGAGTTGATGGGAGAGGGGGCAGTGATGTTTTGTACAGGGAGTGAAGGTGCAAGCAGAAGTGTGTGTGTGTGTTTGGCAGGGCCCGGGGGGGGGGGGCAGAGGAGGAGGACACGGCCAAGTGTTTTGTTGCTGCATGTCTCTTCCAATGCTGCATCTGGGTGTAGGAGTTTCTTTAATGATACTACGTGACTGGCAGACTCAGAGCTTCGCCCTATGAAAGTAGTAAATGACTGGCGCGCTCAGAGCTTTCCCAATGCATGTCTGCTCGAATACATCTCTTCGTCGATTGTCTAGCTCCTGAACCCACGTTGTGGTCTGCATTGCCTTCGAAAACCATCCTAGTCTGAGCAGAACGATGATGCTCAAAGGCGAGCAACAGAGCAAAGCCTTGCAAAGATCCTTTTCAACTTCATATTCTTTGACTGCCAACTGTGCTGTGTATGTGCAAGGAGTACTTAGGCTAGCATCTGCTCAGTCTCAGTTTGCAGTTTTGCGGTTCTCGCCAATCGAATGTCTTGTCCATTTGGTCATTGACTTGGTGTTGTTCTGATTAGTCTTTTTTTTGTTTCTACGTTTACGTAATAATAGTTCGATATAATAATACTTCCTATTAGTCAGTAATTCAGTATACTTACTGTAATAATGATTCCAACTAGTTAGTAATTCAGTATATGTGTGCAACCTGACGTGGTGGGTTCTTCCCTGGGGTCCTTGTCTGTGGTGTGCTGTCAGATTCCTGGTGGATCAGAGATCATGCTCCGCGCAAAGCTGACTTTGTCACAAGAGCGTCATGGTACGTCACTCAGTTGTGCTTTTGACCCATAGCGCAGATTTGTCTTTGCTTACTCTCTCTGTGAGAGTGAACACTTGTGGGCATTCTTTTCTCTCCAATATAAGAACAATTGTGTTTTCAACCTAGAGCAGATCTCCGTCTGCTTACTCTATTTGTGAGAATGAAAACCTGTCATCATTCTTTTTTCTTCAGTATGAGGTATGAGAGCATTGAGACACAATTCTGTCTTGGATAGCATAGCATCACAAGGAGACGAAGAGATGTGTTCTCTGGCCATGAGAAGTTCGGTCTTTGTTACGCCTGCTTCCATTTGCTGTTGCCATAAATCAATGTTGTAGACTTGCCACCCTGCCACCCTCTTCTCTCGCTCTCCCTCCCTAGCTCTCCCTCTTTGCCTGCACCCCCCCTCCTCCCTAGCCCCCATGTACGCCTGCGTACTTACTCCCCCCAATATCTGTGCACCTCCTGCTTAGCCTTCTGTCATCCTTATCTGTTCTATTTCCTAGCTATGACTGTTCATGCAGTTGTGAAAGGATTCATGCTGCAGACACCCAGTCCCGGTCCCAAGGTCCTAACAAGTCCCAAGTCCCAGGGGTTTTGCAGCATGTCGCAGGAAAGTCTGGAAGGTACTGGACCAACAAGTGTTTGCAGCAGACAGTTCGCTGCTGACCGGTACCGGTCTGAAGCAGGCCAAGCCAAGCCAAGTGAAGCGAAGACAAGTCCTATATTTAGCTGCTACAGTGCAGCGACTCGTCACTTGTTCACTTGCAAGATGCAGAAGCGCTGCTGCTGTTTGTGCGTTACGGCAACTTGGGCATTGTGCACCTGAGAGATAGTTCATAGCTAGGCTAGACGTAGAGAAAGAAGACGACGACCATAGCCGCCAAGGTGTAAGATACCTGAGTGGGTGTATCCAGGGTAACGATCCAGGGTAGAGAGAGAGACAGACGAGGGAGACAGCCGCGTGCATGCGCGCGCGCGCACGAGAGAGAGAGAGAGAGAGAGAGAGAGAGAGAAGGGGGATGGCATAGCCGCTACCTTGTTGAGACCCGCTGTGTGTGTGTGTGTGCGGCAGAGCTGCTGGTGACAAACATTCTTGTATACTGGCAATAATATTGGTGACGACATCTTCAAGTGTGGATTGTATCTCGGTTTGGCTTCTCATGTGTGAATTCTCATGTGGATGTTCGTTGGTGTGTGCAAGTTGAACTTGACGGGTACTTGGTTCATTTCAGTGGTATCAGAGCTGGTTCCCGCTGCATCCGCTCGGGTTGGAGACGCTGGCAAGGAAGAAGGCTGGCGGGTGAAAAAAAAAAAAAAAAAGAGATTAGGGTTTGACGAGTCGAGGGCCGAAGTAGAAGGAGCATTGCAAGGAGCAAGAAGAAGACTTACCTGCGTTCGAGGAGCTTCATCAAGAAGTGAAGTGCTTTGCTGCCCTGGCGTTGTCAATTATGCAATTTGTTGTGTATGGTACCTTCCCACATACTTTCTTGGTGACCTCCGCTGCAAAGTCGAATTTCTGTTGATGTCATCATGTCAATTCGAGTCAGCACGTCATAGTTGATCTGCCTGTTGCTTGAAGTCAGAGACCGATCTCTCCTGGAGGAAAGGCTCCTCCCCCTTGTGGGGGAAGTGGTTAGGGTTGCCGGACTACTTGGGGGCATAGGTACCCAGTGGGACCCTAATCCCGTGAGAGGGAAAGTTTTGTGTATGCTGTAGGTCGGTCTAGGGTAGCAACTCGGCGGCTGGATGTTTCTCTGGACCCAGTATGGAGCACTGGTAATGAGCGGCGGGCGCTCGTAAAACAACCCGGCTATGCCCAATGCCCGGTACTGACCGGCGTGCAACTGAAGACTCTTAGCGACACAGCGAGGAGTTGTAGATGTCAGTAGTGTTTGCCAGCTGTATAATGCACGGGTGAAGTAGGGGTGAGATGTAAGGTCCACCAGTTCAGGACGCCAGGGAGCCCCCCCAAGGACCGGTACTGACCGGCTGGCAGAGTTGCTGGTGGTAGTTATACCCGAAAACCGCTGCAATCAGTGAGGGACCAGTCTAAGTCTTGAGAGCGATCTTCATATGGTGGGCACGACGTCCTGTTTGCGCCGTTAAATAATTCCTGAGGTCTGTGGTGACTGACCTTAAACTGCCGGTTGCCCACTGGATTGGAAGAGAACTGTAGTGACAGACGTGGGGAGGGAAGTAGATTGTCAGACCCTGATTTAGGTTAGGATTAGGTGTTGAGGTGTAGGTCTACGTGGTGAGGAGGCCGAGTCCAGTCTTACTGTGCCATCTCTCATCATGGATGACTACCACGCAAGGCTCGATCCCTGGTCTGTGGGTTACCACCCGCCAGGCTGCTATTTTACTTTTTCGAGTTTCTGATCTCTGGTTCCTGACTGTTGGCGTCCTCTGCAGTTGGCGCCCGTTCTCAACTTCCTCTTCTGGCACTTCCGGATTTCGATACTTGGCGCCATCCGGCATTCTGGCGCCCAGGCTCGGACCTTCGATTTTGAGTTGAGCCCCGAGGCAAATTGCACTTCTGCCCCCCGGACTCAACTTGAGTCCAGTACTTAAGACCGGACTCAAGCTCAGTTTGGCACTCAGTTTTCGGCCTCAGTGCTTGTGCTTCAGTGTGACTTGCTGTGACATTGTGTTCAGAACCCAAGATTGCGACTTTGCGACTTTGCCACTTTGTGCCTGCGTCCATCAAGTCGTGTCGAGTCTGTGTCGAGTTGAGTGAGTGTGTATGTGCTCTCCCTCCCTCCCTCTCTCTTCCCTGACCTCGCTGCTCTGCCTCAGTCCCGTCACATTCGTATCGGAGCGGCAAACGGCCCTCCCTCCCTCCTGGTTCCGGCATCGCTATTGTCATCATCTTCGTCGTCGTCATCGCCACCACGTCATCGCCATCGTTGTCGTCGTCGTCGCTTCCATGTCAGCACCTCGTACCTGCCGTCGCCGCTATTGCCACGTCAGCACCTCGCTGCCTTCGTCATCGTCGCTGCCACGTCACTGATCCCGAAGCTGACGCGCAGGTAAGTGACCGATAAAATTTCTTTTTTTTTCCTTTTTTCTTCTTTTTTCCACCTTTATGTATTCTCCCTCGTTTCTTCTGCTTCTTCTTCTTCCTCGTTGACGTCATCGTTTTTTTCCTTTTTCTTTCATCTCCCCCTCTTTCTTCCCGGTTGCCAACATTCCCTTTCTTCCTCCTCGTCTTCTTCTTCAACGTCCCCATCCTTCGACCGCCCATTCCCAACTACCGACCCCCACGCGATTTCCCACGCGATCCCGATTCCCCGTGCAATCCCCCGCACGATCTTCACTACCGTCCCCCCCCCCCGCGCGCTACTTTCCCGCGTGACCGTCGTCATCTCCCCAC